GTATCGTTAATAAATAGAACATTTAAAAAAAAAAGTCATCTTTCGGCTTGCAATACATTTGTTTTCTTTTTGAAGATTTACCTGAAATTTACCTGAAACGAAAACAATGTTAATACCTCACAATGAAGAAGCTCGAACTTGTAACAGTCCATCTAATCCATCTTATTCAGGAAGTTGTTAGTAAGTTAATATTTTATTGATCTGTTAGCGAAGTGATTCCGCCATTAATTAAATTAACTTTACTGATTAATGCTTTGGGTGATTATTTCGTTATAATATATATATATATATATATATATATATATATATATATATATATATATATATACTGCAACTATTTATCTATCTATCTATCTATCTATATATATATATATATATATATATATATATATATATATATATGTAAGAGCGGATAACACTATTGAGTTTCTGCACGGTTTTAAACATTATTTTAAACGGGGTCGTTGAAGAAGATATCCGAAATCAAGAAAGGAATAAAATGAAACAATATCTAATCGTACTGCACATAGATTGGTTTAAAGGTTTTGTGGGTGATTACTTGTCCAGTAGTGGACTTACATCTGTTGTCATAATAGTCTAAACTTAATAATTATGCAAATACGTTTTTCTTCCTTCTTAATTTCAATAATCTTTTACATAAATAGTTGCATCAAATTATGATACGATGCGCAACTGAAATTAATTTTACAGGCGTTGAACAACCTGAGATATACTTTTTTTTACTTTATCTATATTTGTAAAGTTATCACATTATTAACAGAAAAAAGACAGTCAGACATTTTTTTACAGTAAGGTTCATACTGTACAAGGCCCAGGGGCCTCTCGAGGTACAGGCTTACGTTAAGTGGTAGTTTATACGGATAGGGGGAAAGATAACGATTGACTTTAGACTTGAACAGATTAAGATTGTAGTGATCGGGGAAACACCCCCTTGGAAATCTGTTCCGCAGGGCAGGGATTCGATGTTTGAGTAAAACTTTGTTCTCGCCCATCGAATAGAGATGGAATGAGGGTGGTTTACTACTATGTAAAGCATGGCGGGTCTTAGCCATGAAGGCCAGACCTGGTTGAAACAGGCGATGCAGTTCGTCCGAGCACTTTCATTGGTAGTAGAAACAGAGCAGTGCGAGGGCCGCCATAACTTGCTTGTAAGAAAGAGGTTGGAGATTGGAAAATAATTATTCTTCAACAAGGACTTAGGGACGCTTTTGAACTCTATCAAGACTGAAAAGTGAGATCTGGGCAACTCCTGCCCAAATATGGCAACCGTACACCATTTTCGGCCTGACTTGGCTCTTATAAAAAGAGAAGTTACAATGATGGCATTAGTTGCACAGTAAATCCTTCCCGATTTAGGTGCCATGTACGATGTACGCTTCGGTGATCATCTATCCCATTCAAGTCTCTTGGCTTTGTTGGCTTTGCTTATTAGCGGATTAAACCTTCGTCTACAAGATTTGTAGACTTGTTCTAACAACCACCGACGGACTGTTGAAGAGGCAAGACTAATACCTTGCTCTTCGCTTAGACTGGCTGCAATTTCATGGCTAGTTATAGTACTATTCTTCGCAACTTCTCTCTTGATTACCCTGCCAGTTCTATCGTCAATCTTTTTCTTTCGTCCCCTTGTTTCCTTCCTTGGAGCAGAATTATTCCCGCAGTAGGCTGCCGTTACTATCCTACGTTAGACTGGATGCCAGCCAAGGCTATAAGACGCAGTCTGCTATGATATTTTGCTCCTGGGGAGGAGGAGAAATGTGTTCATGCATTTCCCAAGGTTATTTGTGTGTAAGTGAATGTAATGAAACCCGAATGGAATTCGAACTTGATTTTTTCATTCCGAACCGTAATCTATCAAACCTCTCGCATATCCAATCTTATAGCACCTTGCATTCCAAGCGGTTACCCATCTAGGTACTGACCAGACTCAAAGATGCTTAACTTCAATGATCGAACGAGAACTGATGTTTCGATTTGATATGTCCGTATATTAATTGAATCATTAAATTCATAGAATTAAATTCGCATAGAATAAAGCAAGTTTTTTTTTATCTATAAAGACAACGAAAGCTATAAAGTAGCAACAGGCAATCTAAATCAATGAAGCTCTAAAGTAGACACATGCAAGTTTGAAATGAAAAACCAAAAAAGCAAGAAGGAAAACTATTTACATCGAAATTTAATCTCTTGCTCTCGAATTACTGGTATTAGCCGATTAACTAAGGATTTTGTTAAATTTTGAATTTCTTTAGCTACGACAGCTTACGCACTTGTCACAATTGCTTGTAATAAATCTTTTTTTTTTGGCTGCAAATGAGCACTCATCATCATCGCCAATCTTCAAATATCTTGCTCTTGAGAATTTAAGACATATTCAGTTGTGTTTATATTTGAAAGAAATGGAAACCAATCCATTAATCTACCATTTCTAAAACCCATTTTAATCCACGCTGCAGCAACGTCAGAAGCCTATCACTCTTAGAGTTCAGAAGAGATCCATTAGTTAATTCCAAGAATTCAAACATTCATCATTGAATTACTGTTTTTCTCAAGTATAAATTCTTCCCGGACAAGTGTAAATTCTTCCGCATCCACTGATGAATTGCAAGGCATAGTCTTCTTTGGACCCGAAGGAAAACCATGAAGACTGAAGAAAAGGGAAGATAAAGACGTTAGCAAGTATATCAGGTAATACAGTGTGTCCATAAAGTTCAAGTGCACTTTAAAAAAATTATAACTTTATTTGTATCGTCTGTTAAATCACTTCAGAGATATTTAAATTTTTGTGCTTGTTTAATTTTGGTGTCTAACTTGTTTCATTTCTAACAATTTATCAATTGCGTCGGTAAGCGTTTTTACCATTTCAAGTCTTTTAGCTATTCTAGACTACACAATGGTAGAAACTTCCACAGACAAATATTTTATGATATATAAGTTAATAATGCTGCAGTTGCAAAGAAAACAGTACTAAACGCTTAAACAATGTTTAATAAATAATAATTTATAATTACAATCTATAATTATAATCTATAACTTTCGAATATATATATATATATATATATATATATATATATATATATATATATATATTACTGGAAAATTATAGCATAAATATGTTATAAAATCACTACAAAAATAGCCATTTTGTTTCAACACTTCTGGTCAAGTGATGGTGTTGAACGTAGACTAAAGAGATTTAAAAGCTTTCACATTCGACACCATCTCTTGATAAGACACTAGAAGTGTTGAAACAAAATGGCTATTTTCGTAGTGATTTTATAACACATTTATGTTAGAATTTTCGAATAAATTATATTTGCTCTACTCTGTATTCAGGACTCTTTTAAGATTAGTACTTTTTGGTTATTGGAATTTATTCCGTATACACCAATCCTATACTTATATATATATATATACACACACACACACAGTTATCGTAGATGTCCTGTTTGTTGCTGTTAAGGGTGTTCAATGTTTCTTTGGCTATTTTAATTTGCCTTTTGACAAGGCTATATTTATAATTCCAAGGGTTGATAGTTTGTGGGCTGCTGGATCATGTAATTTAAATTGTGTGCATTTAAGCAACATTTCTTCATTGATGCGTGTTTCATTAAATAATATAGACAAGTGAATATATATGTAACATATATGTATTATGTTACATATAATATGTTATGCCACATGTTATATAATAAATTGTATCAAGTTTATGTTTTTGCTCAAGTACTTTATAAACTGGTTAGAAACAAAAGAGGAGATTAATGAACTGTTATGCAATATCGGTACTCTTTTATGACAGAATACCATTCTCTATCAGAGAATGAGGAGACTTGCAGCGACAGAGATGTTCTACAGAAGATTGCTGAGAATACCACGGACTGGACAATTTTAAGATAATGGAAACAAAAAGAACGCCTATACTTAGAATCAGAAAGAGACAGTTGAAATTTCTAGGACGAATAATGAAAACAGAGGACTTGGAGAATCTGACACTCAAAAGTCTTTGAATGCAGGACAGACAGTAGAAAAGCAGCGTGTAAACCACCTACCGAGCCTTTGTAAATGGATAGCAGAACAGGAAGTTGGATTGATAAACGAGAATACATACTTTAAAAAGAGCCTCAAATGATAAGAAGTTGAGAAGAGCCATGATCACCCACCTCTTGAAGACACACGGCACATAGATGAAGTAAGTCATTTTTATATTGATATTACGTTTGTTTACAAGTGCGCATAATATTTTCGCTTTTTTTCTTTCAAATTTAGATCAGGTCGGTGTTTTGTGTTTTTTTTTTTATAAAGGTTCACCCTGTACAAGGCACGGGCTACTGCAGACAGAGGATTAATTTAAGGGGTAGTTTATATGGATAGGAGGGGAAGATAACGGTTAACTTTCGAATTGAACCGGTTAAAATTGTCATGATCGGGGAAGCATCTTCTTGAAAGGCTGTTTCGCAGGGCAGTGGTCCGCAGGAAGAATCTGTTTGAGAGGAACTTTCTTCTCACCGATGGAATACGCAGGGTACGAGGGTGGGTTTCTACTATCGAAGTGGCATGGCGGATCCTGTGTTGCAGATAATTCTATTAAACTACATTTCGTCACTTTTAATGAAACTAAATTTCCAATAATGCAAAATGATTCGCATTATAATTTGGAACAGATTTTATGGTGCTTAAAAACACAAGGTAGCAGCGAATGTAATTCGAAAAACATTCAGAAGAGCGAAAATCATTAGAATATATATACATATATATATTGAGAATCTTTTGCAATGAATAGCAAAACATTGTGTTGCAGTGTGACGTCACCCCGTGGCCTCTCTGCCCCACCGCCGTGCTATCCTGTGACGACCAATGTGACTTGGTATTGGTCGCGGCACGAAATATGACGTTCTAAACTTTTGCTGATTCGGATGGGAATCTGGTTAGATTCGGTATCAGCTTTGTCGTTCCCAGTTCGCCTCCAACGTCTGGTTACCGAAATAACTGCTTTGATTTCTCGTCTAACCTACCCACGTTGTGATTTGATCTTAGGTAGACGAAATCAATCAGTCGCCGGGCCGCAATGCAAACCGAGTCTGAGCAAAGGTAACACCGCACAAGTATATGTAAAAGAAAATAAAGTAACAACTCGAAAAGTTCAAATGTGTTAAAAAAAAGAATAACAATATTTTATATCTGGTTTCTGAATACAGGACTGCCTCTTTCTCCCAAACCGCTAATATGGATACGTGACACTTTGCGTTTGTTAGGCGAGTCTTAACATCTTAAGTTGTTTTTTCAAGAAACTGGTTTTTGGTGTATCTTCAGGCGATATTTGTAAAACTTGTTTTGGTGGTGTGAGTCTAAGTCGTTCTTCAAAAATAAATTGTTCTTGGTTAGAAGTTGAAGTCGGGATGCGTGGATCTTCAGTCAACCTCCTGCAAGGTGGGTCTCAGAGCTCACAGCTCAACTCTGCGTCTCTCTCTCCAACTTCCAACTCAACTGCTTTCTCTGTCTCTGCGACTCTGCTTATATGGACGCCGACCAAAACCGGGTGTGGGCTTGTCGTGGTTTGGGGTTCTTCGATAATTCTAAATCCACAACAAGGATTTTCTTTGTTTTCGGACAGGAAAATTTATTACTTTCCATTTTTGGAAGTCCATTACTTTCTACTTTAAGGGAATCGTCCTCCCAAATTCTTTCTTTCTCATATTGCTATCTCACACCAATCCCCTCAGAGGGCGTCAACAGATTCCCCTTCTCTCTCACAGTGGTATCTCACACCAATCCCCACAGAGGCGTCAACAGACCTCTCCTCCTTCTTCATAGTTTACCTTCGCCTACCGCTCACGCCACCCTTCAGCCAATGAACGCCCAGCAGCGTGTGTGTGGCTAGACTGGCCTCAGTTTAAAAATTTCGCTCAAAGGAAAAGAAAATTATCTTCTTTTTTTTTTCTTTCTCTTCCCCGAGCAGACCTCCCACGACTCGTAGAGTGGTCCCTAATCACTATCTTAACCGACTTTCATCTGGAGTTCGTCAACGAGATTTACGTCAAATAATCATTGGGGTTGATCTGTGAATCTCTTTGTCTCCTCAATGCCTACGTGCTTCCATCGCCACAGTCTGTCCAGGCAACAAACTCTTATCATGGATAAGTCTGAACATAAAACAGGTGTTTTTCCAAAAATCAAATATATCTCCGGAGGATAGTTAAGGGTTTATTCCTTTCCTTTCTCTTTTCCCTTCCTTTCCTTCTCTCCTTGGGGGTGGTCCTCAGCTGATGTCTTTCTCGGTCAATACGTGCCTGATTAACATTATCTCTTAGCATTCTGTTTTTTAGGCCACTTGACCAATTTGAAATTTTCATTATTGCCATGGGAAGATTGCTATCTTTTTTCGCCGCGTCATAACATAAATTAATTCCACAGATCCGATATATTACGAATAATCATTTCAGCTTCTTCTCGCCTTAATTATTTCTCGCTTTTCATTTTCACGCGACCGCTAAATAGTGTCACAGCAGTAATCAAGCCTAAAGGAGGATATTTTGACGAGAGCAAAATTTAATTACAAAATGCTTTTTTCTTTTTTGTCATTATGACTAACTTTTTTAAACATGTATAAAATTTTCTCGTATTTAACGTACAAAACAACTATTTTTTGAGTCAATTTAAAAAATTACCACTTGTGGCCTCATACTTTTGAACTTTTTATCTATCTATCTATCTATCTATCTATCTATCTCTCTCTCTCTCTCTCTCTCTATATATATATATATATATATATATATATATATATATATAGATATATATATATATAGATATAAACGTATAAATATATGTAAAAACTAACGAGAGGTAATGAATGATTACGGTGGTGTTGTAAAGTTTGTACGTCCCCAAAATCTGACGAAATATATTGTAGAATATAATACTGTTTAAAAAAACTAAAGCGTCTAATCAAATAGTATTATCCATTAAAAATAACGTTTAAAGTTACGAAAA